AGTTTGAAGTCAGAAGTCAACTGCCGGTTAATAGACTTTTTTGACGTATGAGTATACGTTGCCCAGGGTGTACCACGTGGAGGTAAGTCTATTGCGCACCCCTGGTGACCCTGCCACCACGAACATAGTACCAAGTGTCCTTTTTACTTAAATCAGGTTAAGTATTTATCATGATCAAATGGAACTTTAGTTCACTTTGTCTCTCTCTCTCTCTTTAAATCATGCCTTTTACTGCACTGTTATTTAGCAGTCTAAAAGCGCGTATTATTTTCATACCGACGTGACCCTGTTATTATTATTAGCTATTAATTGTTTATCACCTCTTTAACTGCCTTTGAAAAGTTTCATTACCGCATTAGCCCATTGTGGCCTCATTAAAGTTTCAGTATTTAATAGGCAAATAATCATTTCAGACCAGTGCTCGGTTTCTTCTTTGTGGAAAATTTCCCAGAAGCATGTGATTGGTACGCTGCGAGAAAACGCTACACCCTTTCCCTGGCAGCATCATCAATTCTTGGTTACCTCGTGGGTTTAGGTGATCGCCATCCACAGAATCTCCTCCTGCAACCATCTACTGGAGAGCTTGTGCATATCGATTTGGGCATTGCTTTTGATCAAGTAGGTCATTGTTTTCTTTTCTTCAATGAAAAAAAAGTGCCTAGAATAGGTGCTGTTTCGATGGCCCTGGGGTCAATATGCACATCAGATAAATCCCCATCATTAGAAATCGTCCACCGTACTCTCTACTTCTAGCCAGTTGAATGGGTTCAGGATACTCCCCTCATGTAGAGGTGTTTGCACACTCTAGTAGGCTTCTAACTTTTATCTTGGATTTGGTAGAATAGTTGCACTATACTCATCTTTACACACCACTTGACAAAACCTCCAGTTTTATGGACATCTTAATAGAAATTTAGGGTTATTGTTTTTTTGTCCATTCAACCAATGAATCTGTTATGTTTGTTTTTTTGCCTAAAAGGGACGTTTATTACCCACGCCGGAAATGGTGCCATTTCGTTTGACTCGTGATATCTCCCATGCACTCGGACCACTCGGAGTGGAAACCGGTTTTGTTGGCGCAGCTGAATATGCTCTGCGAGCCTTCTCTTCTGGATCCGAAATAATTCTCACATTACTAGAGGTAGGTTTACAAGTACATGCAGACATAATTTGATTACATTAACATTAGCTGTTGGCGCTAATGCTCAATCACCAGTGTTTTCACACGATTGGGTGTGAAAGATGCGTTTTTTGCGGCCAACTTTTAAATAGGAGTAGGTTTCCAAAACGTAGGTCCTCATCATTCTAGTTAATGACTTCAGGGGAGCCTACTCGTGATTAAGCCACAGTCCACTATCAGCCATTTGTTCCACTTCTTACTTTTGAATAATCTGTAGGTTTTGCTGCATGATCCGCTCTACTCCTGGTCTCTGTCTCCAGCTCAGCTCTGTGCACTGGAAGCTAGACGGGCTGAAGTTACAGGAGCCTCCGTGTTCCAGAGTGGAGAGAATTCCGTCGTTGCGGCGGCTACGAATGCTACTGTCGTCTCAACAATGACGGGAAGACCAAGAGGTGAGCGAAGTCCCGTTCTTTATTAATCCTTAAGCACTATTGATAACCTAAATTCTATCACCTATACGGTAATCAATGCTGAACCAAGGAATGTAGGTTTTTTTTGATAATAAGAATGGCGACCTATTTCTCACCCTATTCGGTTGCAGATTGGTTGAAAACGTGCATTTTATAAAATCGACAAGCTAGTATAATGTCACCGTTGCTTAATCAGAAGTCTAATCACTTGTCTTCCCTTGGTTCGAAGACAGTTGCCAATAAAGTTATCAATTTAATGATGGATTGGATTGGCGTGGACTTACTACATCACTCTCGCAAAGTTTATAATTCCTTGAGAGGGGTGCGCGATAGACTTACCTCCACGTGGTGCACCCTGGACAACGTATCTTCGTACGGCAAAAAAGTCCATCACTCGGCATTTGATTTGACTTCTATTTGTTATGATTAGCTTGAAACAAGGCTATAAGAGTTTAGACTACGTACCGGACACGATTGCTTGGCAAAACATCTTCACAGATTGGGAGTATACACTCGACCCACATGCCCCTATGATGCACCTACAGGAGGAAATGGAGAAGACCCACCTGATTCGGTGTCCAGCTCTATAGAAAATGACGGAAAGCCAGAAATACTGGGAAGCAAGAAGACTGCTAATGAACTGCTATAAATTTACCCCCCC